CGACCGTGCGGACGGCAACGGTGGCGATGTGGAGGCAGTTCAGGGGGCCGACCGTGTGGAAGCCAGCGGTGGCGACTCAGGCGAAGGGGGTCTGGGGGCCGCCCATGACGGCCATGGCGCCCGACCCATAGCCTGGAACGTGGCCGGTTGACTGCAGACCCAGACCTAGAGGCTGGACCAGGTGACGCAAAGGCAGAAGCAAAGGTGGCTGTAGGCGACCTAGAATATTCAGACGGTAATTGGCATTTTGAGGCGCCATAAGGCTAAAAGCGGCATTGGCTCTCGTGAGCTTAACCCTCAAATCAACATTATTGAGCAATAATCTATCACAGAAAAAAATGTTGTAAAGTGTAAAGTGTCTTTGGGAGGATCTTGAGAGTTTGTGTCTCGTACTTTGCAAAATATATACGCAAATAAATTTAAATAAAGTTAAGCCGCACACACAGGCACCACCTTGGAGAAATGACTACTATATCATTGTAAAATTCTCTAAAGGAAAAAAAAAAATTAATGTTCTTATCAATATCTTTCGAACTTTCTAAATCCCAGAAAGTCGAGAAATCAGATCCAAGTGTGACATCAGCTGACAATCTTTACAGGAGACTCCATCTGAACTCTGTGGAGCCTGATCTCAAGGTTTTTAAGTCTGACCCTGAAACCAGAAGAGGATCTTTCTGTCTCATCAGATTCATTATGATCCAATGATTTCGGTTCTGCATGATGACGCTGATGTTTGCACAGAGCAGATAATGAAGTGAATGTTTTTGCACATTGGTAACAGTGAAACTGTTTATTTACAGCGTGGGATCGTTTATGCACTTCAAGATGATCCGCAGTGATTAAGGATGACCCACAGACTTGCTTTTTAATGTCACTGTGACAGAGTTCATGTTGTCTTAATTCACTTGGTGTGGGGAAGCCTCTCCCACATTCTTTGCAGTAGTTCATTTTGTCTCCAGTGTGTCTGTGTTGATGTCGTTTTAGGCTCTCTTGCTGATTGAACGTCTTCTCACCACCACAGTGACGACAGGGTTGAGAACTGGATCCATCTGTGTCGCTCTGCTTCTAAACAAAGACATAAAAGACAGTGAAGGTCAGGCAATTCCTTCAACATTTTTATCTTGAACACCGCCTGAAATAAAGAGCATCTGTGCCAGCATCCAATTACATTTTACTATTTACATTATAACACTCAACTTACTGGCTTACAATGACTCTTAATTTGTAGGTAATCTACTTATTGGGAAGATTGGTGATTAAACTCCTGGATGCTCTACTCAGCATGCCACAAGATACTAACCCCAAGCTGCTCTCCGATGCATCTATTGGAGTGTGAATGTTGAAATGAGAGAAGCTTTTAAAACTTTACATTTTTCCAACATCAGGAAAGTTTCAAGAGAATTGTGTCAGATTTGACTGAATATTCTGTATGTGAAGTTTTCATGTCTCATTTAGTTTTGAAATTAAAATTCATTCACATAATACTTCAAAATGACTGCAACTGTAAAAAGAAAAATACATACCTCACAGTAACTGCACTTGTAGAGCTTCTCTCTGGTGTGAATCTTTTGGTGTGATTTGAGGTAACGTGGAGATTTAAAAGTCTTCTCACACAGGTCACATTTATAAGGTCTCTTCCCAGTGTGGGTAAGCATGTGGCGTTCCAAGTTTTTGTATGTCACAAAAATTTTGCCACACTGATCACAGCAGCAAACATCCTTTTTTGTGTGAATGCGTAGGTGAATGTCTCGGCTGACTAGCCAGCGGAAAGTTTTTCCACAAATGTGACAGCTGTACGCCTTAAATCCGGAGTGGGTAACTTGATGACGCTCTAAGTAGCAACTTTGAGTAAAAGCTTTATCACACTGATCACAGCTGTACGCTTTAACTGCACTGTGGATGAGTTGGTGTTTTTTTAAGCTTCCAGCCTGGGTGAAAGACTTTCCACACAAGTCACAGCTGTACGCTTTAACTCCACTGTGGATGAGTTGGTGTGTTTTTAAGCTTTGAGAAAACGTAAAAGACTTTCCACACAAGTCACAGCTGTACGCTTTAACTCCACTGTGGATGAGTTGGTGTCTTTTGAA